GGGTGGGTGGGTGGGGCAGCGAACAGTACTCAGAGGGAAGTAGGGAATTAGAGGACCATAGAATCATAGGGCTGAAAGGGACCTTGGAGATCATCTAGTCCAACCCCTTGTTCAGGAGGAGTCCATCTGCTCCCAAGGTTTAGAAAAAAGGCCCTCGGTCATATGGAGACGGCTTGGTTCTGCCCGTCGATTTTTTATAACGAAAATGTCAGGGTTTTGTGAGGGCATGTAAAAGAGGGAACTTTTTAAAATTTTAAACCAAAAAAAAAAGCAGAAAGACTGTGTCAGAATTGTGATTTTTGCAGTACATGACTCAACCGTTGCCTTCCAATGCAATTAAGCGTTTAGTATCGGATAAGACAGTCTTTCCAGTTTGAGGAAGACCAGCTGTTGTGAAGCTCTTGTCAAAATGTATAAATATTTCCATATATATTGCTAGAGTTACTCAAGGGTAAAAGTGCCAGGAATATCTTTGCTATAAAACCTTGCAATGGAACGATATGAAAAATTTTCTCTCTTCTTCATACTCTAGAGCAGCGGTTCTCAACCTGTTGGTTGGGACCCCATTTGGGGTCGAATGACCATTTCACGGGGGTCGCCAAACAATGCAGTCCGCCATTCCCCCCCCCCTTTTCCTTAGCTGTGCACTCCCTTTTATTCTATTGGCTTTTGAAAGCCAATAGAATAGACTCTCTTGAATAGAGTCTAATTCGATTGGCTTTCCAAAGCTGTCTCTGCCCTGCTGAGCCCGCCAAAATCCCATTCTGCAAACGGTGGTGCACCAGTTGACTTACGACCGGTTGAGTAGTCCTCAACTTACAACCAGTTGGGGGTCGCGGCATTAAAAAGGTTGAGAACCACTGCTCTAGAAAAACCTCTTTATGTATTTGAAGAAATAATGGCTTACTTCAGTTCATAGGACAATGCCATCAAGAATGTTGGGTTTTTTTGTTTTTTTGGGGAAGAATATTAGCATATGAGGTGTACAGGTGGATATGATAAATGAAATATATATATATATATAAAAAAATCCGAAGCTGGAGAAAAATAATGCCAGATCTGCAGATGTAGTCTGTGAGTCATTCAACTAATCCTCTTGAACCAAACACGCAAGAATAATAGAAAAATTAAAGACAGTTTTATTCCACAACGAATTAAAGAGCAATTATGGAAATGAGAGAAGCCAACATTCCAAAACTTTAATGGAAGAATCTCTATGGAGATACTCAGTCATCCAGCTCCTGGTTATCCCAAAGGTGCTTTTCCCCCTACCAAAGGCAACTGGACTTTCCTGTTTTCCTTTGAAGATGTTTCGCTTCTCATTCCAGAAGCTTCTTCAGCTCTCTTTAATGGAAGAATTTAAAGATTTTTTAAATTTTGTTTTTAAAATAGAAGCCGATAATGTTACATCCTTTTTTTCAGAAATGGATTTTGAAAAAGGTGAACCCTATACATTGGGGGTAAATGGGGAATTTGGCCGAAAATTGGAAAACGGCAGTCAGCCTCAATGAATGATTATGGACAGAAGCTGATTGTCTATTTTTTTTTTTTTTTTTGGATGAAGCAAATTTTACGCCTGACTGCGTTAGAAAGAAAGGAGCAGAAAGAGACCCACCGGTAGAGAGAAATTGGATCCAAGTGGTTTAACTCTTTTGGCGAAGAGTTTAGCTGTTCACATCAGGCAGGCTTATAACAACGCATTTGCAGGCGGTTTGCCTGGAACATCCCTTCCGGGAGAAAGAAGTTTCTTGTTAGGAAGAATGAACGATCACAGGACGATAATTTGATTTAACAGGCTCCCCGTTGCTCTGGGGGGGGGGAACGTGGCTGAGTATACAAGACAGGAGAGGAAGGTCAAAGTAAGAAAGGAAAAAAAAGACTAAATTTTAAAGCGCTGGAAAATAATAATAATAATAATAATAATAATAATAACAACAACAACAAGAACAACAACAAAACAACAACAACAACAACAACAACAACAACAACAACAATAATAATAATAATAATAATAATAATAATAATAATAATAATAATAAGCAAAAACTGGTGGGATCATAAAATAGAGAAAGTCATAGAAAATGATAAAATGAAACTGCTTTGGGACTTCAGAATTCAAACAGACAAGCACCTGCAACATAACACCCCAGACTTAACAATTGTCGATAAGAAAGACAAAAAAGTCTGGATAGTGGACGTGGCAGTGCCTGGAGACAGCAGAATAGAAGAGAAAGAACTGGAGAAGATAACAAAATACAAAGACCTACAAATAGAAATAGAAAGACTGTGGCAAAAGCAAGCAAGGGTAGTACCAATAGTCATAGGCTCCTTGGGTGCAATCCCAAAACAACTGGAGCACCACTTGAACACCATTGGCATTGACAAATTCGCTATTAGTCAATTGCAAAAGGCGCCCTTATTAGGAACTGCTTCCATCCTGCGATGAGATCTGTAATACCATCAAACATCCACATCTGCCTATCCCAGGTCCTGGGTAAGGACTCGATAGGTAGACAAAATGCCAAATCCAGTCTGAACATCTGGCTTACTGTGAACATCTGGCTGATCCTCCATCATCATCATCATCATCATCATCATCATCATCATCATAACATCATCTGAAATAGAATCGCTGCTCAACACTGTCCGAATATATCGCCAAGATATTGTAATGGAGTTTGGCTTGGACAAATGTGCCACACTTACTATCAAACAAGGAAAAATAGTGAAAACTGAAGGAATCAAGATGCCCCACGAAAATAACATTAAGAGTCTGGATGAGGAAGAGTACTACAAACACTTGGGTATCCTTCAAGCTGACAATATCAAGCACACTGAAGTCAGGAAAAAGATTAGAGGTGAATACATCAAGAGAGTGAAGAAGATCTTAAAGTCCAAACTCAATGGAGGAAATACCATAAAGGCAATCAACACCTGGGCAATCCCAGTCATTAGGTACACAGCTGGAATAGTGGACTGGACTCAAGCAGAACTAAAAGCAATGGATAGGCAGACCAGAAAAATAATGACAATGAATCATGCCCTTCATCCATGCAGTGACATTGATAGACTTTATCTACCAAGGCAAATAGGTGGGCGTGGAATGCTACAAGTACATCAGATGGTTGAAGAAGAAAAAATGGCTTTGGAAGAATATCTGAAGAACAATGATGAAGATGCACTGAAATTAGTATATCAGGAAGGCTTACTAACTACTGGAGAGACCAAACTGGCCTACAAGAAAGACCAAATGAAGAACAGAATAGAGGCATGGGAAGACAAAGCACTACATGGCCAATACATGAAAAAAATAGCTGGGAAAGCAGATAATAATAAAACCTGGCAATGGCTAAGAGCAGGAAAATTGAAGAAAGAGACCGAGGGACTAATTCTGGCTGCACAAGACCAAGCCTTAAGGACAAATGCATACAAAGTCAAAATTGAGAAGACAGCAACAGACAGTAAGTGCCGCCTATGCAAAGAAGCTGAAGAAACAGTGGACCACTTGGTAAGCTGTTGCAAGAAGATTGCACAAACTGATTACAAGCAGCGGCATGACAAAGTAGCAACAATGGTGCATTGGAAGATCTGCAAAAAATATCATTTGCCTGTAAGCAAAAACTGGTGGGATCATAAAATAGAGAAAGTCATAGAAAATGATAAAATTAAACTGCTCTGGGACTTCAGAATTCAAACAGACAAGCACCTGCAACATAACACCCCAGACTTAACAGTTGTCGATAAGAAAGACAAAAAAGTCTGGATAGTGGACGTGGCAGTGCCTGGAGACAGCAGAATAGAAGAGAAAGAACTGGAGGAGATAACAAAATACAAAGACCTACAAATGGAAATAGAAAGACTGTGGCAAAAGCAAGCAAGGGTAGTACCAATAGTCATAGGCTCCTTGGGTGCAATCCCAAAACAACTGGAGCACCACTTGAACACCACTGGCATTGACAAATTCGCCATTAGTCAATTGCAAAAGGTGGCCTTACTAGGAACTGCTTCCATCCTGCGATGAGATCTGTAATACCATCAAACATCCACATCTGCCTATCCCAGGTCCTGGGTAAGGACTCGATAGGTAGACAAAATGCCAAATCCAGTCTGAACATCTGGCTGACTGTGAACATCTGGCTGATCCATAATAATAATAATAATAATAATAATAATAATAATAATAATAATAATAATAATAATAATAATAATAATAATAATAATAATAATAGAAAAAGTCCCCAGAGGACGGGATCCACTACCATTTTAAATCTATCAATAAAGGAAGCAGAAAGAAATGTAACGCGTTTATGGTTGATCGTGGTCCTGGCTTAATTAATTGATTAATTAACGGCAAACGCGGGAGGGAGGTGAAGTCAGCCTTCCTCCGCCTAGTGACTCTCATGCGGAGGGTCCAGCGTCTCTCACCCTCCAGGCTGACACCCACTCCCCCGTCCTCCCCCCCCCCAGGCTCCTTTCCGTCCAGCGCAGCTCCTCAAGCTCATCGGCCCGGCTCGCTCCCCCAGCGCCCGCTTCCTCGCGGCGATCCCGCTCCGTTGGCCCAGAGGATCCGGCTGCGCCCCCGCCGCGCCTGGGCTGCCCAGAAGCCGCTCTCCTCGGCTGCTTTTGGGGAGGGGGCTTCTGCGCTTCTCAGACCCCCCCACCCCCCACCCTCCCCAGCCCGAGGCGGGGGTCTCCAGCTGTGCCCAGCTGAGCGGGCGCCCAGAGGCTCCTGTGCGCAGCCAGGGCGCACGGCCAGGGCGCATTGCTGCGCGCTCCGAGCGAGGCCAGGCTCGTTCTGGGCGCGTTGGAGAGGTTTGCCTGCCCGGGAAGGGAGGCCGGGAGCCGGACCGGAGCCGCGCCGGGGGAAAGCGGACCGAAGCAGCTGCCTTCCCTCTCTCCCTCTCTCCCCTCCCCGCCTGCCTCCGTCCCTCCCCGCTTCGCTCGCTCGCTCGTCCGCCCGGCGGGGCGCTGAAGCGCAGCCTCCTTGACGTCAGGCGCGGGCGGTGCGCGGCATCTTCCGCGCGGGGTCCCCGGCCGGTGGCTGCGCTCGGGCGCCCCGGGCCAAGAGGGGCCGCTCCCGGCCGGCCTAGAGGGCGCCAAGGGCTGCGCAACGAGCCCGAGGCGAGCGCCAGGGAGGCTGTGCCAAGGCGGGCAGGTTGGCCAGGCGGGCGCTGCGGAGAGAGCCCCGGCCTCCCTCCCTCCTTCCCGGCTCGGCCTGGCCATGGCAGCCGCCGAGGGGGCGAGCGCGGGGGAAGGGGAGCTGGCCGAGCGCGTCCTGCTGAACGTGTCGGGCCTGCGCTTCGAGACGCGCCTGGGCACCCTGGACCAGTTCCCGGAGACGCTGCTGGGCGACCCGGCCAAGCGGCTGCGCTACTTCGACCCTCTGCGCAACGAGTATTTCTTCGACCGGCACCGGCCCAGCTTCGACGGCATCCTGTATTTCTACCAGTCGGGGGGCAAGCTCCGCCGCCCGGTCAACGTCTCCCTGGAGGTCTTCGCCGACGAGGTGCGCTTCTACCAGCTGGGCGAGGCGGCCCTGGAGCGGTTCCGGGAGGAGGAAGGCTTCCTGCGGGAGGAGGAGAAGCCACTGCCCACCCACGAGTTCCAGCGCCAGGTGTGGCTGATCTTTGAGTGTCCCGAGAGCTCCGGTTCGGCTCGGGGCATCGCCATCGTCTCCGTGCTGGTCATCCTCATCTCCATCGTCACCTTTTGCTTGGAGACCTTGCCGGAGTTCCAGGAAGAGCTGCGGGACCCCACGGGCCAAGCGCCCCGCCCGAGCATCCTGGCCGACCCGTTCTTCGTCATCGAGACCACTTGCGTCATCTGGTTCACCTTTGAGCTCCTGGTGCGCTTCTTCGCCTGTCCCAGCAAGCCGGAGTTCTCCAAGAACATCATGAACATCATCGACGTGGTGGCCATCATCCCTTACTTCATCACGCTGGGCACCGAGCTGGCCCACGAGCAGCAGAAGGGCGAGCAGCCGGGCAACAGCGGAGGCCAGCAGCAGGCCATGTCCTTGGCCATCCTGAGGGTCATCCGCCTGGTCCGGGTCTTTAGGATCTTCAAGCTGTCCAGGCACTCCAAAGGGCTGCAGATCCTGGGGCAGACCTTGAAAGCCAGCATGAGGGAGCTGGGCCTTCTCATCTTCTTCCTCTTCATCGGCGTCATCCTCTTCTCCAGCGCCGTCTACTTCGCGGAGGCCGACGACCCGGAATCCTACTTCTCCAGCATCCCTGACGCCTTCTGGTGGGCGGTGGTCACCATGACTACGGTGGGCTACGGGGATATGAGCCCCATCACCGTGGGTGGGAAGATCGTGGGCTCCTTGTGTGCCATCGCTGGCGTGCTCACCATCGCCCTGCCCGTCCCGGTTATCGTGTCCAACTTCAACTACTTCTACCACCGGGAGACAGACCACGAGGAGCAAGCTTTTCTGCAAGAGGACTCTGCCAGCCTTCTTCGGGGCAGCTCGGGGGAAGAGGCGAAGAGGAAAGCCTCCTGCAAATCTGTGGTGCATTTGGAGCATCTGGACGAGACCCACAACGGGACCAGGTCGGTGGAGAAAAGCAACATGAAAGCCAACAGCACCATCGATCTGAAGAAGTCTCTCTACGCCCTTTGTATGGATTCCACCAGGGAAACCGATCTGTAAGAATAACAATTCCAGGTGGCGATTTATATCAGGGAACAAAGCACTGGGTTTTGTTTATTTTATTTTATTTAAAAAAAAAAGTTTGGTCGCTTATTTAAAAAACAGCTCTAAGTTAGTGGATTCTTCTCTCTCTCTTTTTTTCTTCTTCTTTTCAACTATGAATTCCTTCTGATGACTCAGCATCGGGTTTATGCTGAGCCAAGGATTTCAAACAAAGATTTAGTTGGCCTCCACTTCCCATTATCTGAGCGATTTTGGGGTGGGAAAAAAGACCTGGCTTGTAGATAATTTATTTTTCCTAAACTCAAAAAAACCAGGGGGGAGTTTTTGTAGAGTTCGTTCGTAGCACACACACCCCCCAGCCTCAAATCCCCTCGCTCCTGTAATCTTTTCTTCTGAGGCCATTTTTCTCCCGTGGGTAGTAAATGAATTTTTATATAGGTACCATCGTTTCCAGCTAAGATATTTCTATTTTTTAATATGTCTGATGAAAAATAGCCATGTTACTGTGATATACGAAACCATGACCTCTAGGTAGACCTTTAGCCAAGGAATATATTTCCTGTTTTAAAGTAAAAAAACAAACAAACCCTAACCCTTTCCTTTTATGCGTGCATTCTAGTAGCAAAAGCATTGCATTGTCTAAAGTTTTGTACGTTTGGTGAGAATTAAATTATATCAGTGGCAACCTTTTGCTCTGTGAACTGTATCCATGTTCCTAGTCCTCAGGGAGGCCAGATGTCTGCAACTGGCAGATGTTTGAAGGACTGGCTTTTCTAAAGGCAGGTGGTCCTTGGGCCACCCCCGCAACTGAGCCCAAGCTTTCTGTGGTTAAGCGAGACAGTTATACGTTTTGTTCCATTCTATGACCTCTCTGCTAAGTGGGTCACTGAGTTAGTAACACGGTTAAGTGAGTCTGCCTTCCCCCATTGACTTTGCTTGTCAGAAGGTCGTAAAAGGGGATCACATGATCCTTGGGATACTACGACGGTCATAAATATGAACCAGTTGCCAAGCGTCTGAATTTTGATCACCTGACCCTGGGGGAGGCTGTAAAGGTCGTAACTGTGAAAAACGGTCGTACGTCCCCTTTTTCAGGGCTGTTGTAGCTTTGAACGGTCACTAAACGAAGCATTGTAAGTTAAGGACTGCTTGTAGAACGTTTCTGGCTTCAGTTTTCATCCAGCGGATTAAAAGGTTTGTAAGTTCAGTGCCAGAAAAAACATTTTGGTAACCCTGGGGCTTTACGGATTCAGTTTTCCGATTGGGACCTAGACGTGATTGATGTCTTGGAAGGAGCTGGTCACTCTTGTTAAAGGACAGTGTCCAGTAATGGACTCTGGGGGGGAGGGGTGGAAACTAATGGAAAAGGTAAGAGGTTATTAAGTAAAGCTTTTATGGATTCCACTTTGCACTAAGTGGGGAAGTGGACCCTTTCATTTTGAAATAAGATGGATTGTGGCCTGGTAGATGATTGGTAGATGGCTGGCAGAACTTGGCTCCTTAAAAGTTCAACTTGGATCGCAAAGCCTACGGAGAAAAAGAAGAGGACCTCCTCTGCTCTGGAGCTCCTGAGACAGGAGTCTTCTGGGTTTGATTTCTCGCCGTCTTCTCTTGTCCATCTTACAGAGCTGGGAAGAGAACGGTTAATGTGTACGGAGATTCTCCATCATCAAAATCATGGTTGTCCCAAAGGTGCTTTTTCCAAAAAGACAACTGGACTTTCTTGGGATTTCCCCCCACTGGCCCCGCCCTTGAAAACGATTCGTTTCTCCTCCAAGAAGCTTCTTCAGCTCTGAACTTTCTGAAGAAGCTTCCGAGATGGGAAGCGACACATTTTGAAGGGAATAAAAAAAAGACAAAGACAATCCAGTTGCCTTTGGAAAAAGCACCGTTGGGAAAAGAACGGTTAATTCCTGCGTAATGATTGTTGTTGTTTGTTTGTTGCGAAGTCGTGTCCAACCCATCGCGACCCCATGGACAACGTTCCTCCGGGCCTTCCTGTCCTCTATCATCTTCTGGAGTCCATTGAAGCTCACGCATACTGCTTCAGGGACTCCATCCAGCCCGCTCCTTCTCTGAATTGGTCTAAGAAGGCAGCTCAGGCCAAAGGAGCTTAAATCCTTCTTGCCCCGCCCATGAATCTTTTTTCCTTTGCCTTCTGCTGAATGGATGGGATTTAAGCAGGTTTGGGAAGGCAGCCATCACAATCATGACGAGACTTTTTTCTTTCTTTCTTTTTTTGCAACGGACTGCTGTAATTGGAGTCAGGGCAATAAACATTTCGGGCATCTGTCCAGCAGACCCTGGAAGGGGGGGGAAGAGGGGTAGCATAACCTATTTTTTTGCTGAATTTCCAATTAAGTTTCTCTTCCAGCATGCCAGAGTCTCTCTTCAGGCAGAGAGGAAATAAATTGACTGACCCAAGTCTGTAGATTAAATTAAACTATGGCTTTTTTTTTTTTGAAGTAGGTTTTCAGTGATTATTAGAAATGGAGGGGTTTTTTTTTTTTGAATGGCAAATGCTGCAGCAGAGTTTCTCCATGAGGGGATCAAGCACATTTGATTTTAAAACCATGCAGAGGGAATTATCTTCATTATTTTCTGACTAGCAGCTGTGGGGAATGGAATCTGAGTACTTTATGGACTTTAAATCCACCCAGATTACTAGCTTTCAGACATAGATGTTCAAGGGGTTGTGGCTGAGCAGTTCAGCAAAATTTCTGCTTGCCAAGAAGGGACTTCTTTCATGCATTATCTCAGGTGATCAAATCTAGTTTATTAGAGATAATAATAATAATAATAATAATAATAGTAGTAGTAGTAGTAGTAGTAGTAGTAGTAGTAGTAATGTTCAGTTGACTGAGATTCACGTCTAAATAATAATAATAATAATAATAATAATAATAATAATAATAATCACTACTTGAACACCATTGGCATTGACAAATTCGCCATTAGTCAATTGCAAAAGGCAGCCTTACTAGGAACTGCTTCCATCCTGCGATGATACCTGTAATACCATCAAACATCCACATCTGCCTATCCCAGGTCCTAGTAAGGACTCGATAGGTAGACAAAAATGCCAAATCCAGTCTGAACATCTGGCTGACTGTGCGATGATTAATAATAATAATAATAATAATAATAATAATAATAATGACGAAGACGACGACGATGATGATGATGATGATGTCTGGTCTTCTAGTCCAGGGGTCTTCAAACTTGGCCCTTTTATGACTTTTGGACTTCAACTTCCAGAATTCCTTAGCAAGGCATGCTATCTCTCTCTCTCTCTCTCTCTCTCTCTTCTCTTTCTCTCTCTCTCTCTATCATCTCTCTCTCTCTCTCTCTCTCTCTCTCTATCTATCTCTCTGTCTCTCTATCTCTCTATCTCTATCCCTCTATCTCTCTATTATCTATCTATCTATCTATCTATCTATCTATCTATCTATCTATCTATCTATCTACAGTGGTGGGATTCAAATATGTGAACAACTGGTTCTCTGGATGCTGCTGCTTCCGGAAGTCCGTTCTGGGCCTGGGCAAGAAAAAAATAGCTACCGGTTCTGCCGAAGTGGTGCGAACTGGCTGAATCCCACACTGAAGCCAACCCATCTCAAAAAATCCCTTTGTCCCAGGCCATTGTGCGCTCAGATCTTCCCTGGCACCTTGAGAGGGGTCTAGGACAATTCGCCATGGCTAGCTCGCCGTGAGCAACTTGCCACAGCCAACTTGGCATGGCCAACTCACTCTGAACAACTTGCCACAGCTAGCTTGCCACAGGACCCCTCGCCCGCGGAACAAGAGTTACACTACTATCAAAGAAATGGTGGACTAGAATCACTCAAGGAAGGATGCAAAGGGGTTAGGGTTAGGGATGAAAGGTGAAGTGGCAGACCCTGAAATAATTGTTTAATTTATTTTAAATAATTAAATGCGATTGTTCAATCATCCCACGGCAAATTGGCCACAGCCAGTTCGTTGTGGCAAGCTATCCCATCCTACCTTGAGGTACTTTCTCCACTGTCTTAGTTTCTAGTTCCCCAAAACCTCCTCATTGCCTTTCTTCGTTCCAGTTTCTCTGAATAATTCAACATGTGATGCCCAGAACTGAACGGAATAAAGTGGAATTCCTTCTTCTTGTGATTTAGAAACAGCCCTTCTGCCGACATCCTAGCACAGTGTTTCTCAACCTTGACAATTTTAAGGCATGTGGACTTTAACTCCCAGAATTCCACAGCCAGCATTGCTGGCTGTGGAATTCTGGGAGTTGAAGTCCACATGCCTTAAAATTGTCAAGGTTGAGAAACACTGTCCTAGCACATCTCCAAATCCCAATATTTTTGGCAGCCATCTTTACACTGCTGACATATATTTTGTTTCTAGTCCAATATGTCTCTCTCGGGTTATGTTATCAAGTCATTATCCCCCCCCCCTCTCTTGTGCTCCGGCACATTTTACTTTCGTTCCCTAGAGCAGTGGTTCTCAACCTGTGGGTCGGGACCCCATTTGGGGTCGAACGACCATTTCACGGGGGTCGCCAAACAATGCAGTCCGCCATTTTTTCCCCTCTTTTTCTTAGCTGTGCTACTCCCTTTTATTCTATGGGCTTTTGAAAGCCAATAGAATAGACTCTCTTGAATAGAGTCTAATTCTATTGGCTTTCAAAAGCCAGTAGGAATTGTCCAGGTTGTCTCTGCCCTGCTGAGCCTGCCAAAAGTCCCCTTCTGCAAACGGTGCTGCACCAGTGGAGTAGTCCTCGACTTACGACCGGTTGAATAGTCCTCGACTTACGACCGGTTGGGGGTCGCGGCATTAAAAAGGTTGAGAACCATTGCCCTAGAGGAATAACAATTCATTTGTTCTTCGGTTCAATTTCGTGCTGTTATTTATCAACCTTTTCCCTCGCTTACCCATATCATTTTGAATTTTATTGTTGTGTTCTGGAGCGTTAGCTGGCCTACTCAGTTTGATCAGAATCCTCTTCCTCATCCAAACCATGAATAAAAATCTTGATTAAAAATGGACAGCCCAGGACTGATTCTTGTGTCAACCCGGTCAATAGCTCCTTTCGGTTTGAAAGGAGGGCAAACATTGCTTTCAATGGGATTATCGATTTCGTATTTTCTGCTTATTTTGTCATTCCATCTAGCCCACAATTAACTAAGTTGGCAACAATGGGCAATTTATCAAATGCTTTGCTGAAGTCGAAATATGTTATGATCAGTTGGCATTTCCCGTGATCTATTAGGGCAATTATTATCGGAAAAAAAAACAAAAAACGAGGTAAGAATCTAGCAGAATTTGTTCTTGATAAAAACATCTCATTTCAGGCTATTAGTCCACAGTTTCCAAAGTGCTTGCTACAATATTTGTTTATGATTATTTTAGAATTATTCAGGATATGGATTCTCTTTTCTTCCAACACTTAAAAGCACAATTTCTCCCCAGCAAAGAAGGGAAGATTCAAATCAGGTAGGACAATGATTTGACAAGGAATTGGAGAAATTTATTTAGGAACTTTTCAAGCTCTTAGCGCATTGTTGCGGTTGATTGTGCGGTCAGCCAGATGCTTAGATTGGATTTGGCGTTTTTATCCACCTTTCAAGTTCTTTCCAAAGACCTGGGATAGGCAAATGTTGTCCGATGGTTTTGGAGGGGTCCTGCAGGATATATGCTGTTCCAAGAAAAG